GTCCGGCCTGCGCACGGACACCTCAACCACTGGCCACAGGCCCAGCCTTGGGCTTCTACTATGCTTGCAGCTTCTCATGAATACTTACTTTACAGTAAAAGATTTTAAAAACTCCCATTGCTTTGCCTCCAGTTGTACTCAGGGATCTATCACTACAAACTTGGGTGAGGAGAACAGGGCGCCAACATCCTCCATGCATGGGTTCAATACAGAAGATACCTGAGTCTAGTTTAACCAGCACATTGTTGCAGAACCCAGTCAGCACTCTGCCGGAATCAGTGAATCTAAGAATTCACACGGAGGCAGACAGCAGTTCCAAAGCCCCCGCACTCCGCCAACAGGCAGACGTCCTGCGTCTGTAGCCTGGTGCGCAGACAGGAGGCCACGGCTGCCACGCTTCAAAGCAAGACCCACTAGAAGACAGTGGCGCCCAGCGGTAACAGCGGCATCCAAAGAGAAGCCTCGCCTCACTTTCTTCCCGCAGGCCTGAGGACGTTCAGTGTGGGGACGGAGGTTAACGCCTGTTTTCTGGCCCTAAGAAGGGAGGCTGTCTCCAAGATGAGCCTGTGAGAATGGCCAAGTGTAGGAGAGAAGACGCCAAGCAAGCGCGAGCTGCTCCCTTGAAGAAGAGAGGGAGGCGTGTGAGACGTTCTGGGAGGTTGCCACCACAAAATGGCTTTAGAACCCCTGGGGCTTAAAGGGGCACATTTTGGGAGCTGGCGCTGTGGCACACCAGGTTAAAGCCCTGGCCTGTAGTGCCGGCATCCCATATGGGCACCGGTTCAAGTCCTGGCTGCTCCAGTTCCGTCAGCTCCCTGCTAATGCTGCCTGGGAAAGCAGCAGAGGATGGCCCAAGTGCTTGGGCCCCTGCACCCACGTGGGAGACCTGGAAGAAGTTCCTGGCTCCTGGCTTCAGATTGGCTCAGCTCCACCTGTTGCAACCATTTGGCAAATGAACCAGCAGAAGAAGATCTCTCTCTGTCTCTACCTCTCTATCTCTGTCTCTCAAATAAATAAAATAATTTTTTGGAAAAAAAAAAAAAGAGGCCCACTTGGTGCTGGAGCTGCGGGTGGCGCCAGCTGAGACCCCAGGCATCTCTGCGGTAGCCCAGGCCCTCCCAGGTCTCACCAAGCCTGGCCAGATCCTGAGAGGGGTTCTGGAACCTTCTGCACTGTCTGCCCTCTGTAGGTGGGCAGTCAGGAGCCAAGGCCCTGGGACCAGACTGGCAGAGCACCGGTAGTGCCAAGCCCCTGGCAACCTTGTGCAAGACCCCTGCCCTCACAGTGCCTTGGTTTCCTGGTCTGGAACCTGGGGTCCTGCGTGGCCAGGGGCAGCAGCAGGCCTGCAGTGAGCGGGCACTGCAGACAGCTCTGGCCACCACCATCCACACAAGAGGACTTGCTCGGGAAGCGAAGCTGTCCTATTCTTGTCCCCTACCACTGACTGGATGGGGCCAGTGTCCTTCTTATGCCAAGTCTGCAGCTTTGCAGACACGCGGCCTTGAGTCCCACGAGGAACGTCCATAGGTGGAGAGCAGAACACATTTAAAGAAACTGGGAGGAGCACTTGCTGGAGGTGAAATGCACTTGGGTCGGCTGCTGGCCCCTGCTGGGGACCTCCCACAGCAGGAGGCCCCGGGTGCACAGCAGGCCTCTGGGCTGTGTGGCCACATTTCTTCCCAGCAGGGCCCTCAGAGGCAGCCTGCGTATCCCCTTCCCCCCACCCCGGGCCCACCCAGAGTGCACTGACTGCCGGCACGCGCTGGCCAAGCCGGACCACACAGCCCCAGGATGGGCGAGCTGAGCACCACTCCTGCACTCCACACCAGTGCCGGGCCACTCTGGCCCTGCGTGTTGAAGCCACGCCCCCGGCCCTGCCCGGCCCTGCCCGGCCCTGCCTTCCTCTCATTCTCCTTCCATCCGTCCTTTCCAGAGCAGAGTCCCGGTGACCGCTGTCCCCGGGCCCGGGGAGGCTGCTCTCGGGAGCTGTGGCCAGCAGCACAGAGGCCGCCCCAGAGCACAGGGCGGGCAGAGCCCGACGCTTCTCCAAGAGGGCTCAGCTCAGGACAGCCGTGCAGCAGAGGCCTCGGGGGTGGGAGCCCAGGCAGGAGCAGGTGGGGCGGGTGCCCCAGGCCTGGGAGCGGCATGAGTGACAGGACCTCGCCACCCTCTTCGTGTCTCAACCCTTGATTGCCGCAGCGTGGGCCTGGCACCCCACGCAGTCTCTGCAGGAGGACCGGGTGGCTGGTACCCTGGGGACAGCCCTAGGGCTAGACAGTGGTGAGCGCTCTGAGCTGAGCCTGATGCTCGCGGGACCCCGGCTGTCAGCCCGGGTCACCCTGTGCACAGCCCTGGACCACCACCCAACCTGTTCCTCAAGGTCGGGACCCACAGCCCCTGCGCCTCTCTGCGAGGTGGGCCACTCCCCCGGGTGGTAGCACGTGTGGTCTCCTCTCGCTGCTGAGGGCAGAACGCAGCGGCCACCTGGGGAGGGCGGCCTCCTGCGCCCCCTCCCACGCGGTGCCCAGGACCAGCGTGGACATGCACGGCCCGGCAGCCACCAGCGGCGGCCAGGACCAGCATGGACATGCACGGCCCAGCAGCCACCAGCGGCGCCCAGGACCAGCGTGGACACGCATGGCCCGGCAGCCACCAGCGGTGCCCAGGACCAGCGTGGACACGCAGCAATCCTTCCCAGCCTGCGAGGACACACCAGCGATGGCTCTGCCAGCAAAGGAAACCAAAGCCCCAGATGCCCACGGTATCTTTCTCCAGCTCATGAGTATGCAGCAACTCCTAATCCTTACTCGGCACGCAATCCCCTTCCTAGGTGGACCCCCCCAACCAGGAAGCACCGGCACACAAAGAATGAACGCGCAGGCACGCGGCCAGCCACGCCAAGGCCTCTCAGTGCCCTGTCCACTTCCTCATGGACTCTCACTGCGGAAAAGGGCGCCGGGGGCAGTACTTTCCAGCAGCACAACACGACGTGAAGACAAGAACAAGGAGGGGTGAGGGAAGGCGCGTGGACTGCCGGGCACAGGGCGGTGTGGCTGGGCTGGGCGGCCCAGGGGTGAACGGGAGGCGAGTGTGGGCTGTCGCGGTGCCAGGACGCTGCTGGGGAGCACTGAGCAGAGGGAGACTGGCCACAGCCCAGCGCCTCTGGGCCCCTCCCGGCACGGACACAGACGCAGCCTGGCTGGGTCCCTAGGGCACAGCACAGTTCTGAAGCCCCAGACACTGCAGACGGTCTCCACCCCAGCGCACGTGACTGCTTCAAGCCACTGCCCCACAATGGACCTGTCCCTCGACAGGAGGTGCCTGGGTCCTTTCACAACCAAGAGAGCCGAAGAGGCCAGAGTGGCAGCGTGGAAGTCGCATGGAGAGCTGGCGCTGGGAGCCTAAGACTCGCAGCCGCAGCCCGGGCCAGACTCGCACGCCTTGCCGGGGCTGGGGCTGGTGCCTGGGAAGCAAGGCCACTCGGGAGGGCAGAGTCCCGTGGCCTTGCTTCCGGGCCGGGAGCCTGCACTGACCCTGGCGGACCCCTTGAATGCGTCTGGGTCCACCTAATGAACACCAGTCCCTGCCCTCCGCCCTTCAGGAGGCGGCTCCAGGAGTGGGGCGGCATTTCCCTAGTGGGGAGGGGACGTGAGGAGCCTAGTCTGGGGAAAGCCCTGTGCAGCAGGCACCCCGGCCACGCCCTCCGCTCCCCATGAACCCGCATCTGTCCCCTTGGTGGGCTCACCGGACCCACTGATGGGGTCTGCCTCCATCTTGAGCAGCGTGACCTCACGGACCACGGCTGGCAAGTCTGGCTGAGCCACCTTGCGGGGGGCAGTGGGAGGCCGGACCACGTGACTACAGCTCGGCCGCCCTGTCCTCCAGGGGACGCGGCAGGCCAGGGACTCACAGGCCCAGCTTGCCTTTGCAGAGACCACCAGCACACACGTCGGGGCTCCACGGACTGTTGCAGCAGTTCTGCTCCCTCACACGGGCTTTGGAACCAGGCCCCGCCTGCAGCCTGCAGCTGGCTCCTGCCGACACCACCTGACACCTGGGGGCTCCGCCAGCCCCTGCCCCCGCTGCCGGAGCAATGCAGCTGCCGGAGACACGGCCCTCCAGGCAGCGAAGCTGGGCTCCCAGGGGTCCTGCTGACCCCGCCTCCTCGGGCTGCGTGCCCAGGGGCCTCTCCCTGCCCGCCCCCAGCCTCCGTGAACCTGTCTGTCCACCGGTCTGGCCTTCGCCTTTGTATCTCCCCCTTGAGCGCTCAGGACGGCCAGGCCACAGGGGCCTCGGCTGCTGAGACCCGGGAACCCGCCATCATCTATAGCAAGAGCGGCCCTCTGCCTCGGCGGTGCGGTGCCCTCTGCGAGGGAGCCTCCCTCCTCCAAGCACAGGCCCCCAGCCCCTAGCCCTGTCCCCGCTCACAGCCCTGCGACGCAGGACCCTCCTCCAGGATCTGGCTGGCAGTGCTCCACACACAAAGTGCCTTCGCCTGCTGGGCTTGGCTGGAGGTCAGCCTGCCCCGTCTGGTCTGTCCTGGGACCACCCTCGTGCTCCAGCTGGCCCGACGCGGCCTGGGTCCCCAGCTCCTCCCCAGGCCAGCCTGCCACCCCCAAGGCCTCCAGGGGGCAGCAGGCTCCTGGCCACAGGATCCCAGGATGACTGGTGACGCGGTAACCACACAGTCTGGGATGAGCTCAAGTGCGCGACCAAGGGGACTGTGGAAAAGGGGCCCCGATGCTGCCTGAGCGCGGCCAGCTCCCTACCCAGAGCGGTCATCCTGCGCCCTGTGGCTCTGCTTCCGCTCTCCCGTAAGCACCGACAGCCCAGGTGAGGCAGGGCGAGGGAGGGCTGTGAGACCTCCCTGTAGAACACCAGAAGAAAGAAGCCATTCAGGCCACACCAGAGCCCCTGCCTTGACCCCAGGGCGCCAGAATCAACGCGCGAGGCCCCAGGGCTGTGTGCCTGGACGGGGCCCGGCCCACGGCCGTACTCACCATTGGAGCGGTGGATGCAGGTGTGCTGGTTGTCACTGAGGAAAAACCCACTGTGGCACTGGCACTCGTAGCTGCCCATGGCATTGACGCAGATCTGCTGGCAGCCTCCATTGTTGTCCTGGCACTCGTCCACGTCTGTGGGAGGAAAGAAAGGAGGGCAGTCACACCTGACCGGGAGGACGCAGACAGCCATTCCCCTAGGTGCACCAGAGACCACACAGAGAGAGCCACAGTGCTCCCTACAGGGGTACTCACAGTGCTGTGCACAGTGCTCCCTCCAGGGCTGCTCCATGGTGCTGTGCACAATGCTCCCTACAGTAGTGCTCCACAGTGCTGTGCAGAATGCTCCCCTACAGGGAGGGGTGCTCCACAGTGCTGTGCAGAGTGCTCCCTACAGGGATACTCACAGTGCTGTGCACAGTGCTCCCTACAGGGCTGCCCCACAATGCTTCACACAGTGCTCCCTCCAGGGCTGCTCCCCTGTGCTGTGCACAGTGCTGCACAGTGCTCCCTCCAGGGCTGCTCCCCTGTGCTGTGCACAGTGCTGCACAGTGCTCCCTCCAGGGCTGCTCCTCTGTGCTGTGCACAGTGCTCCCTACAGTAGTGCTCCACAGTGCTGGAGCACTCTGCAGGGAGGGCTGCTCCATGGTGCTGTGCACAATGTTCCACAGTGCTGTGCAGAATACTCCCTACATGAGTGCTCCACAGTGCTGTGCAGAGTGCTCCCTACAGGGGTACTCACAGTGCTGTGCACAGTGCTCCCTACAGTAGTGCTCCACAGTGCTCCCTCCAGGGCTGCTCCATGGTGCTGTGTACAGTGCTCCACAGTGCTGCAGAGTGCTCCCCTGCAGGGAGGGCTGCTCCACGGTGCTCTGCACAGACGTGCTCTGGGGGTGCTCCCTAGTGGGTGCCCTGGGTGACCTACGGAGGTCGAGCCCTCATGGTTGGGATGCTGCTGCCCCTGACTCAGCGCTTCCTGTGTGACCAGCACAGTTGTCAGCATCTTTTCTTTTTTTTAATATTTATTGATTTGTAAGTAAGAGTTATAGGGAAACAAAGGAGAGAGAGAGAGAGATCGATCGATCGATCGATCTATCTATCTATCTATCTATCTATCTTCCCGCTGGGTCACTCCTCAAATGGCTGTAAACTGGGGCTGGGCCAGGCCGAAGCCAGGAGCCAGGAGCCGGGAGCTTCTTCGGGTCTCCCGTGCGGGTGCAGGGCCCAAGGATTCTGGCCACCCTCCACTGCTCTCCCAGGCCACAGCAGGGAGCTGGATGGGAAACAGAGCAGTTGGGACGCGAAGCAGCACCTACATGGGATGCTGGCACTGCAGATGGTGGCTAAACCCGCTGCAGCACAGCACCAGCCCCCTGAACACCTTCTTGAATCAGCAAGCCTCCTGGTCAACCCCAGGAAAAACCCCCACTTTACAGGAGAAACAGAACAGAAGCAAAGTGAGCTTCCCAAGGCCCCACAGGCAGGGAGTGGCCGAGGCAGCACTCAGACCTGGGCTCTCAGTGGACCGTGCAGCGTGAGGCTTGTCCCCTGTCACACACAGCCTCCCCACCCAGGCCCCAGAGAGCCTCAGTCTTCAGTGGCACCTCGGGTTCACAGCCAGCGGCACAAGCCCCTGGAGCCAGGGTGTCCGCGGCACCCTGAGGCCCTGGGCCCCTCAGATTGGCTTCAGAAGTCCCGAGAGTGGGGGGGGGGGTCCTGCAAAGGCCCTGACCTCTGGCTGCCAGGAGTGCAGGGAGGCTGCCAAGCCGTCTTTCCCACTCTCCGGGAGACAGACCCCAGGGCCCACACGCACTTCTGACCAGAGGCCGCTGGCACAAAGGGTGTTATTGGCTGAAAAGAGTCTTTATGGAGTTCTGCTCTTGAACAGAACAGCATGTTTCAATTACCAGAGTCATAACCCCTACTCTGTCAGTTTGTTTAATGAAAGAAGGGCTTCTTAAACCCTAATGTTCCATGTCTGTATTGTCATTTTAATAGGCAAATATACGAAACCACAAAGGCGACGTGGGCTACTGGCTGCTCCTAGCCAGTCCTCCGGCCCCAGCACGCACACGCACACTCGCACGGGCACGGCACACACAGGCACTCTTTAAGCAGTTCTGTTTTCCACAGATCTCTCTCACTGTTGGGACGAAAAGGATGGAAAAGGTGAGGCAGGCGGTGACCTGCACTGACCTGGAGACGAGTCCGCTCTGGGGCAAGTTCAGCTGGCACTACCGAGGCCGGCGGACAGCAGGCCACTTTACCACCCAAGAGACGGGCGGCTGCCTTTGAGGCCAGCTGTGAGGAGGAGGGTCATTACTCTCCAGCAAGCTCAAATGTCAGCCGTGTGGCAGCCAGAGGAGGAAGTGCCGCTCAGGGCCCCCAGGGGTTACGGCTCCAGGCAAAGGTGGCCCTTGCTGAGCGGGGCCGCGTGATCGGACCGCAGGCCTGGGAGGCCGGCCCCCGGAGCACGGAAGGACAGACGGGGATGAATCGGGACACCTGCCCCTGCTCAGCGACATCTTGCCCACGGCTCCCTGGAGGCCCAGTGCCAACGTCAGCCCTGCTGGGGGCAGCCCCGAGGCACAGCGAGTGTCTGCCCTGGGGGTCTGCCTGGGATCCCAAACAGCTCTCAGCAGGGCGCCTCGCCCTCCTTCGACCCTGTCGGCAATCTGGGTGCTGGGCTGTGTGACTGACTCCATGTCATCTGTGAGGACCCGGAGTGAGGCACAGGGACCTGAGGAACCTGAGCAAAATCACAAGCAGGCCAGAGCGAAAGCAGGGCCCCCACCAGGGCTCGGCTCCAGAGCACGTCTTGTTCCGAGCTGGCTGAGCCAGCAAACGTGCCCAGGCTAATATGAGAGTGCCGACGCTGTGGCGCAGTGGGTTAAGCTGCAGCCTGCAGGGCCCTCATCCCATATGGGTGCCGGTTTGTGTCCCGGCTGCTTCACTTCTGATCCAGCTCCCTGCTAACGCACCTGGGAAAGTCACAGAAGATGGCCCAAGTCCCTGGAACCCTGCACCCATGTGGGAGACGCAGAAGCAGCTCTGGCTCCTGGCTTCGGCTTGGCCTAGCCCTGCTTGTTGCGGCCATTTGGGGAGTGAGCCAGCAGATGGAAGACCTTTTTCTCTCTCTGTGTGTAACTGTGCCTTTCAAATAAATACATCTTAAAAAAAAAAATACCATGAAGCAGAGGCTAGTCCTACCCCGGGCTGGTGTCTGGGGTCAACGTGGGCCCACTTTCGTGGGTCCCTGATGCTTGCCCCGGCATCGCCATAGTGAGTCCTCTGGTCCGACAGGACCCATGGAGGCACCTATGCCAGTTCCGTGGCACAGCCTCACGATGAGCCCTGAATGCAGGCGGCTGTGCCTGGGGCTCCGTCAGACCCCTCCTGGCACAGCGGTTGCCTTTCTTCCTGTTCCGGAGTCTACGCTTGCAGCTTGGCTTCCCCAGCCCCAGTGAAGGTTCAGTCGCAAGCAAACAAAACAGGCCCTCAAGTGCTCAATTCCCGGGGCAGAAGCACGACCTGGTCCCTGACAAGAACAAGCTCCCTGGTGCCACCCATCTGCAGCCATCTGGCCTGGCCCAGCCCTGCACCTCGCTGAGAGCAAGGCCCTCAGGCCCGGGCAGGGTGGCTAGGCCTTGGACAGGGCTGTTTACACCAGCACGGAACAATGCCTCGCCAATACTGATGAATAATTGGAAACAAATGCGAGGCCATGTAAACATTTCTTTCCCCGACTCCCAAATGATAAAGCCCCAAGATTAAGCAGGCGGGAAGAGGGGGCTGCCCCTCTGCACCCTCTTCCCACTGTGGCCCAAACACAAGCTTCACCCCTGCCCTGAGCAGAGCAGCACATCAGGGCTGCCAAGTCCCCCAACTTCCCCAGCGGCCGAATGAAGGGCCTGCGGCTCCAGGAGTACCCCCAGGCCCTGGAGGTCGGCAAAGTGACCACCTGGGGCAGCTGGGCCATGGATGGTCTTCCCAGGCCCAGGACAGACTGGGCCCTGCGGGAGGCCCCCGCCAGGCCTGGCACCAGCTCTACGGGAACTAGCCCCTCGGACAGGGCCGAGCCCAGGACAGGGCCGAGCCCAGCACACTCTGCACACGGGGCCCCTGCCTCCCCGGCACTCTGGTACGAGGTGCGCGCTCACGGCGGAAGGGAGCCAGGCTCAGAGGTCTGCCTCTGCCCTCAGGAAGCACTCTCAGGGCGTCAGGAACTGCAGACTGTGTCCTCCAGGAAGCCTCCGAGAGTGCTCATGGCATAAGCAGGCCACCTTCTTCTCCGCCCATGGAGCAGTGGGCCCGTGCAGCTCGGGCCTGGAGGGAAGCCCCTTCACGTGCACCCCGGGGGTGAGCACCTGGCTGGCTTCCTCTCAGCACAGTAACACCTCCTGCCAGCCAGGCCCCATCAACCCACACAACCGCTCTAGGCCGGGGTACGGCAGCAGCACCTCATTACCAGACGGATGAGCCTTGCCCAGGGTGCTCACAGAGACAGAAGGGGACGGGAAGCCCCAAGAGCCGCAGTCCAGAGCCCTGACTTGAGGGGCCTTCAGGCCCAGCTGCGGCAGTGACAGGACGCTGGCGTGAGTCGTGATGCTCACAGCCTGCCCCACCCCACCTTACACAGTCACGTTCCCAAAACCCAGCACAGAGGACCCCCTGTGTCATGCTCCTGGCCCAGCAGAGCCCTGCACGCCTGCTTCCAGGTTGGCCAGCCTTCGCTCCTCGCCTCCTTCCTCCGCCTGGACCGCAGCTTGGCTGCCCTGCCCTGCCCTGGGGTGAGGAGGGACCTGAGTCTGCTCATGTCTACGCACACCCAGCAGAGGGCCAGGGCGAGGGTGGGTGCTCGGGGTCAGGAGGTCACACCTGGTGGAGACCTGGGGCCAGCTCTGGAGTGCAGCAGGCACAGGCGCACGGAGGCCCTCCACAGCCTGCTCGCCTCTCCAGAGTGGTCAGGGCCACGCCTCCTCCCCCTGACCCAGCTATTTTTGCTCCTGTGGACCCCCAGAATGGCCTGCTGGTCATTCGCTCCACACACACCAAGTACCCGCCTGTGCGCCACACTCCCCGGGGGCCGCCTAAGTCCCTGCACCGATCAGGCGGCCTGTGCGCTGGACCTGAGG